GGAAACATGGAGACTGCTTGAAAAGATAAATCTATCTCAGCATCTACTTCTGTCCTACTATCGCAGCACCATTGAGAGTGTCCTGACATATGGCATTCTTGCATGGCATGGGAGCAGCTCTGTAGCGGACAAAAAAGCTCTACAGAGAATCATTAAAAGTGCCCAGAATATCATCAGACTCTAGCTACCAGCCCTGGACGACATCTTCGAATCTCACTGTCTGAGAAAGTTGCATAACATTCTCAAAGACTCTTCCCATCCTGCTTACAATTTTTTGGGACTGTTGCCTTCTGGCAGAAGATACAGAACAATTAAAACTCGGACCACACATTTTCTGAATAGTTTTTATCCCAAAGCTATAATTGCACTCAACAATAAACTAAAGGGCCACCATCAGTGAGCTGTTGGACAGTATTACTTGGTCTGTTGTGTGGATGTTTGGGTGGTTTAGGGGTGGGGAATTGTGGGTGGGAGTGTGTTTAGGGATTGTTATGTGTGTTGGACCTGGTCTTTGGGAGTTAAGTGAATTTCGTTGTATGGGTATACTGTGTATACAAGTACAATGACAAAAAAGTTTATTATTTATTTATTATTATTTATTAATGGTGGACAGGACCACATGGTTTTGAGGTCCTGGGCAAAAAAGCACATGGGTGAGAAAGAGAGATAGATTTATACCCTCTGTTGAGCTTTGAATTTGAGCTTGTATTCTAATTGGTTGTCAAACTCCCATGGGGCCATGCAGGGGTAACTTTGTAGGTTGTCTTTTGAGTCCCAGGCTTGGTTGAGCCTTGCTGGGTGATGCAATCTCCCCAGGCGCCATGTGGTGAGTTCTGTTACTAGATGGGTAGAGGGCTAATCCTATTGTTGTTGGATCTTGGGTGAGGGCATTTGCTTATGAATAGACTTTATCTCTTTATCTCTTAAGTGCTGACATCTGCTGTGGGCTGTTGAAGAGGGTAGGGACTATTAAGATTGAGTCTGCTTCCTGCCTAAAAAACATGTTTCTCCATCACTCCCCTGCTGTGGCTCCCTGTTGGGTGAACCCACCACTGGCTGGCCCCGCTCTTTGCCCTACCCTCTCACTCAGTCTTTGCCTGGCCTGAGAAGGTAAGGGCGAAGGTGGGGGATGGAGACTCAGTCCATATTCCAGAGTGGGAGCGAAGCGCCTCTGTATTTGCTGGGTCTCAAGGGTGCTTTTTCTGGGGGCTTGCTCATGCCTCCCGGATGTCAGTTACTGTGACGCCCTGCCTCCCAGCTGATCGTCGGCATGCTACTAATCTGCCATCCTCAGTAGGCTTTAAAGTGGCAGGGGCGGCAACAGCACCAGAATGACTGCCGTGCACAGATTCAAGATGTGCATGTTTCTCCTGTGGCAGGGGTGGCAACAGGCCTGTGGCTGCCAAATGTGGGGGTCTCACCTTGGATGGAAGGGGGAGACTCCGCAGTTGCCAGTGCACTCCTTGGTTGCCTTGCACCTGATCTGCTTCAGAGATGCTTTGGCTCCTGTCACTGCATTCACACATTGGCTCATCCTGGAGACCAAGTACTGGACGAGTGTAACGATCTGTCTCTCTGTGCCTGGCCCACCAGACCTTGCCAGGCACACAATAATTGTTTATGTGGCCAATTTGTCCCAGATAAGTGGCTTTGCACTTGCATGGGCAAGTTACATTATTCTGTCTGTTCTTGTGGAAACACACACACACAGAGAGACATACAGAGATTCAATGGGGAAGAGCTGTCTTTTATACCCAAACATCTATTCTTGCAGCAACCTGCTCTTGCACATGGATGCAGAATGGCTGGGAAGGGGGCTGCTTTACAAACATGCACTCACTTGTTGGGTTGTTTTTTTTTAGGGTTCTTAGAGCGGATCTCGCTCTCTCTTTCTCTCTCTCTGGAGGTCAGATTCCCACCAGCAGTTCAGGGGTTTCTTCCCACTCGTGGGGGAGGGGAGAGAGAGAGAGAAGAGACACAGAGAAAGAGAGAGAGGAGAGACAGAGAGGAGACAGAAAAACAGAGGGAAGACAGAGAAAGAAGAGACACAGAGAGAAGAGACAGAGAGGAGGCACACACACACAGAGAAGAGACACAGAAAGATAGAGAAGAGACACAGAAAGAGAGAAAAAGGCAGAAGAGAAGAGAGAGGGGGACAGAGAGAGAGAGAGAGAGAGGAGAGACAGAGAGAGACAGAAGGAGAGAGACCCGTTTCCCACAGAAAACACCGGGAGTCACAAAACCTGTGTAGGCATGGCTGAGGGGTGGTGGTCATGTGACTGGGTGGGAGTGACGTTGAGTTGGCCACACCCACCCAGGTTTTGTGGCTCCTGGTGTTCTCTTTTCTGTGGGAAATGGGTCCAAATGGCTCTTTGAGTGTTTAAGGTTGCAGACATCTGCAATAAACTTAAATATTAAACCTGAAATAAAAATTAAATTCCCATCACTATTTTTTTACTATTTTTTCAATTAATACTGTATCCTTTTCTAGTAAAAATTCTTTGCTCAACCATCTTAATGTGTGCTTGTTTAATGGGATGTTTGTAGCAAAAAATAATCCCTTCCCAATTTATTTATTTATTTATGTATTTCGTCAAGCATGTAATAGGTAACAGATAGTCAAGGTCTTTTTGTAAGGTAGCAGCATTGTTGGTGGTGTTGAATAGTTTTATATCATCAGCAAGGAGAATGCAGTTGCTTATAATATGATCGTAAAGGTCATTTATGTAAAGTATAAAGAGTGTGGGTCCTAAAACGCTTCTTGGGGGACACAGGTATAACTGGTGCAGGGTTTGATAGGGCGTTCTCTATTTTGATTACTTGTTGCCTGTTTGATAGGAACACAGCTATTCATTTATGCAGGGATCCGGAAATGCCATAACGTTTTAGTTTTAAAAGTAGCTTGTTGTATACTACTGAATCAAAGGCTTTACAAAAGACTATATAAATTGCATCTATTGCTTTACCCTGGTCGAGTTGTGAAGTCCATGTTTTTGCAGTGTAGGAGTTGCAGATTGCAGGACAGTTTTTTTCTGAAGCCAAACTGCTTGTTAGAGAGTAGGTTGTTTGTCTCTAAGAAGAGGGTAATAGATTGGTTTATGATTGATTCCATGACTTTGCATGTGACGCAACATAATGAGATTGACATACATAACATACAGACATAATGAGTCTATAATTTTCAACTAGGCTGGGGTCACCCTTTTTGAAAATAGGGATGACTGTGGCTAGTGACCATAAGCTAGACAAGAACCTGGATTTGAAAGATATTTCATAGATTATGCTAAGAGGTTCTGCTATTTATTTAGCAGATTTGTGTTTGTGTTCTCATTTAGATCATAACAATGTATAATATGTATTGGACTATTATAACAATCAAGAATATAATCTAAACCATGGGTGTCAAACTCGCGTCACGCTGCTGTCAGATGACATATCATGACTTTTTTCCCTTCGTGGAGCTGTGGTGGGCGTAGCTTGCATGTGACATATTTGTCCTGGGATCACATGATCATCTTATGTGAATTTCTAACAAGCAAAGACGATGGGGAAACCAAAATCACTTAACAAACATGTTACTAACTTAAAAAGTGCAATGATTCACTTAACACCTGTGGCAGGAAAGATCATAAAACTCAATCATCTTGCTTAACAATGGAATTTTTGGGCTCAGTTGTTGTAAATCAAGGATTACCTGTAATCCCAATTAAATAAACGAACAAAGCAATCTCTAAAGGATACATTGCAGTCATCTAGTCTAAATAATGCAAGAGTTTTAATTAATTGCAGTCAGATTCTTCCTAATGTATTGCAAATAGAGTATCACTCTCTGCTGATAACAGGAGCTAAATGTTACTTGTATTTTAAGATTTGTGTTTTTTCTTTCTTTGATCTATCAATAGCATGTCTTTCACTTTATTTGAAATGCATAGACAGGTGCAATTTGGTAAGCATGGTATTCTTCATTTTCCATATAAGTCTTGTTTAGAATAAGTTATTCAATTTTTAAAGATCAGAAATGAGACCAAACACGCTTTAAAAAGTATTTGCCATTTATATGGATATTCATTTCTTCATAGTTTTTAGGATCTCAAAGCAGCACATTTCCCATTTCCCCCCACAGCAATAACTCTATGAGATTGGCAGGGTACAAAACACTAAGTTTCTGTAGCTGCAGGTGAACCTGGTGTTCTGGTGCCAAACCAATTCCTGAATGACTACATTACATTGGCTGTCAAAAATTGTTAAATGTTTATATCTTTCCTCCAGGATCTCAGAGGACAAACACAGCATTCCCTTCTCCCATTTTAACATGTGAGGGTGGGCTGAGAATGTGTGATTGGCTCAAAGTTATCAGTGAACTTTTGTGATAGGATTAAACCTGAGGCTCCCTGACCTTAGTTCAGCATGTTAACTGCTATGCTGCACTGACACTCAGCTCTCTTATGGCTATAAATAATTATAAATAATGATATGATGTAGTGGTTAAGGTGCCACCTAGAAATCAGCAAACAGTTCTATTCTCCTTACACATGAAAGATGGCTGGATGACTTTGGGCTACTCACGCTTTCTCAGCCTAACCTATTTTCAGGTTACGGTATTATTGTGGGGAAAATAGAAGGAGGAAGAAGCATTAGGTATGTTCACTGCCTAGAGTTATTTATAAAGGAATAAAAGAGAGATAAAATTAAATAAATATAGTTGAATATAAATATCAGAGACTTCTTCTATCCTCTGCTAAACAATCTTTTCTCATCTCAAGTTTCTCTTCTTCCTTCATTATGTATGGTAAAAAGTAAGAACTTTGCACATTCAAAGCTCACTTTCCAAGAAATAATTGTATCACTGATGTATGCCCGTAGCAACCAATCTATTTCCCTCTCCTCCACTGCCATCTTACAACTTTCCCAATTAACTAAAATTAATTGCGAAAAAACTCCTCTCAAATATAACTGTGTAAATGTTTTTAAATAATCAGAAAAATGAGCATAATATAGAATAAGATTTAAATACTGTTTTTTTTTAATTGTTGTTATTTAAAGTTTCAGCAAAAGAAAAATACAGCTTGTAATGAGAAAGAGCAATTTCATTTGCTCTAATTGTTTCTCCCATTCCATTTATTGGCTGGTATTTATGACAAATTTCTACATAAAATAATATTTGCAGTTCAAACTGAATACAGAAATAATCCACTAGGCGGAGCTCAAAGAAAAGAAGTTTAAGCATCTTTCAATGAAATGTGCTATAATTTGCCATTTATTTTTCCTCAGACTGCCTTCCTGTCTCCGTTTTCTCAAAGGCATTTTCAATAAACAAGGACCTATCACAGACTTTAAAAGAAAAATTTCCAAAAACATAAACTCTTTGTTTTTCTAGAAAAGGATCTCTGAAGTTTTGATGCCTGCTACCTCTGGAGTAAACCAAATTAAGAAGGCTAGTTATAGACCCTTTCATTAAACGGAAGCTTCAGCATGGTTGTACTAATACTCATTCAGATCATGTCAAAGCAATTTTATAAACAGTGGAAATAGTTGACATTACAGTCAAATACTAAATGACAGAACACATCAAAAGCAAATGAGAACAATTCAGTCTTGGGCTCATGAGTATTCAGAAATATCCTTTCTGGGATTCATACCAGATATATTCATGTGATCATAGCAATAGTTTGAATGTTATTGACAAAACAACAGAGTTAATGGGAATTCCACAAACATACTTTAGTTTTGATCTTGATAATTGATTCATATTTTTCAGAGCATAAATTTAAACCCATTTTCGCTAAAGGAGGCACACTTTGTTTTGATACAGGATTTCAAATTTAGTCCCCACCAGTTTTTTAAAAAAATATTTATATATGTAACACAAAAAAACCCAAACTTTGTGATGTACAAAAACATTTATTATAAATATTTTAGCTAAAACATGCAATTTTTATCAAATATAATCTGTGGATTTGCAAATACAGTTTCAATTACTAGCAATTCTTTTACCCACTATTTTATATTCAACAGGCTGCTTTTTTATTATTCTGCACTCACAGTTTAGTATCACAGTATAAAAAGCTAAATGTGACAACAAAGAGAATATATTTGTTTGCAATCTGATGGCAAGATTAGTAAAGCAGCAAGCATTTTTCTTCTCTATGTATGTAGACATACACGTGTAAATTCTGTATACAATAGAAACTTGTTGAATTATATTACAGGTTCTGCTTTGAAATCTAATTTTTCTTGCAAACAAATTGTTGGAACTGGGAAATAATTTCACCATCTTATGAAAGTGGTAACTCTGCAAAAAGGAGTTTAATTCTCAATAAGGATCCACAAGTAGTATGAGGATTTCCAGAGTGGAAAGCTAATGTGCCCTAAACTATACTGCTCCCTTAATCTCTTATAGATAAGAAATTTCGTTACTTGTTAAAACTCAATGACTAAAATACACAAAGAAAAAAGGAAAAAAGGTTCTGGTCCCCATGGAAATCATATAAAAGAATGTGACCACAAAAGTACAGAACTAAGGCAGAAGACCTAAGATCATAACGGTTCCTTGCTTTGTTACGGAGAAAAGAGGAAAAATTGAACAGTGAATGTTGTATTCTTGATATGTATTCAGCACTTTTAAATAGCAGCTTAGATTCAGAAAAATACACATGGAATTTCACTTGTGCAGTTTGGATTTCCTGTCTCCTCTTTCCAGCTGTAGCCTGTGGTGTCCCTTAAACATTTTCTCATGACTGTCATGGAAAAATTAAGAGGTATTTAAGTCTAACTTGGGGGAGAAGTTGAATCAGCAGAATGAAAAAACGTAACTGTCATTCAGATAAGAATATTTTTGGATTTCAGCAAAAATCTAATAACTAGAAATTTCCTTTATCCCATCCTCCCCAGTACCACCATCAGCTCGGTTTTCTAATATGCAGAGCCCTTGGAATTAGAGCATTCCAGCTTATCTGAGAAGCAAGGTCTTATTGTGAAAGTAAAGCAGAGCCAAGCATTATATAGAAAGATATTCTGAAGAATATTTTATAACTATTGAAGCAGGATTGTTTAGAATGACAAAAAAATGAAATTGCCAGTATTCGATTTATTTATGAGGAGTTTCAGCATCTGCCAATGGGATTTCATTATTAGGACATTTAATTCTTCTAAGTAATTATTATTACAGTATAAGGCCTATTGGAATTACATCTAGCATTTGCAATTTCTGAATGCTACCATTTGTGGCACATTCTCCAGCACCTAAATAGGAGCTTCAAAAAGAAAAAAAAGAAAGAAAAAGAGGCATCATATCACTTCTGTTTCCATTTAGGTAGATGTCTAATCACAGACAAAGCTTGTAAGAATGTACACCAATTTCTGGTGACAGATTGTTTCCACTACTGACTAAATGCTGACTTGAGTTCTCGGAAGGCTGCTCTGCGGTGCCGTCTTTCCTCTTCCTCACGTTTTCGCTCATCTTGTTCTGCTTTTATTTCTGCTTCAAATTTGCTTGCTGAAGACAAAGCTTGAACCTAAAATTCAGGTATGAAATGGTTAATATCATTATTACCATTGTAACAATTGTAAAACACTGTATTCAGTGAGGCTTATCTCATTATAGAGGTACACAGCTTGTGCAGAGAAAAAAAATTCACTACATTTGTGAGTAGCATTACAATGGCCACATTCCAGGGTCAGGACAAATATTTGATTTAAGTAACAAAATTAATTTTGTGTCATCATTTTCTACACATTTAACAATTAGTGGTGACTTTTGGAAAACCACGAGACACCTTACACATGTTTTTACCTTTGCTTCAAAAAAATTTTTGGCTCCTTTTACTCCTTCAAGAGCCACATCTATTTCAGAGAGCTTTGCTAAAGCCATCAATCCACTGTCTTCTTCAAGTTCTCCAGCTGCAGCTTTATGGAAAATCAGAAGAAACTAGAGGAAATAAGAGAATGGGAAACTATTTAGAAAAAATAAATCAATAAAATTAAACTCCAAGTCTAAGATTGGAGATTCAAAATTAAAGTTCTGCATTTATTCCGAAAATGTATTTGTTTATGGTCCAAGTAGATAAAGATTTGTGGCTAGATCATCCCTTATTTAAATGTTTATTTAAAAGCTCCCATAACTATAGCAACTGTAGACATATACACACAGACGATACTACACTGGGGAAGATTAGGTTAACATTTTTCTGCAATTTTACTTCCCTTACTCCTCCCACTCAAAGGTTGGGAGCAGCAATTGGTATCTGTGAGCAACTGCTTAGTGCTTCAAGCAGCACCAGGTAGCTGTGATATAGCAAACACCATAAAATAGTTTCCATTAATGCCTTCATGGCAACATTGCTCTAGTCTAGGACATTGATTGGAATTTTTTTAAAAAAGCCCCATTCTACTGAAACATTGCTATTACAGTCTGGTAAATCCACTAGGTCCTACTGACAGAGGAGGAGATCCATCAGATCAATGTTTTGTCCCAACTTCCCCACAACTAAGAAGAACATGTAACCTACAGCTTCTCTAAGGAAGGCTATTAAAAATAAATAATTTATGAGAGAGGAATAAAGAATGCACTTTTTATCTCCCTTATTCTGATGAGAAACCCAAGACCAAAAAGAAGTTTAAAAGAAGACCAAAGATGCTATTAAATTTTAGAGTGTTATTTTATTCAAAGTTATTGCTTTTAGTTAGATTATATTCCAAATTTCAACATATCCATATATTCAATGGATTCAATTGTATTTCCACTTTACATAGAGACAAATTATAAACCCTTAGCAAATAAAACCACATAATAATTTATCAAGTTCTACAGACAATTCTAGCTTCAACTTTTACTACATATAATTGATAGCACTGATTTCACTATTCTGCGCAGAATTCGTATTTTTTCACTAGGGGACAGCAGAATCTAATGATACCAATAATTATATATTTTTATTCAGGAAGTTAAGCATCTGGCAGAACTGTTTGTTCCCAAGCTTTCATTCTTTTTCCCAGTAGCTTACTAATATAGCATCTGAAATAAAAAAAATTAAACTCCCTAAATGCCCCAGGGATGGGTGGGAGAAGATTACAAAACTGCTAAACTGTTTCAGGCCATAGTTAGAATGGGTGTATTCATCCAACCATGTAGTACTATTTGCTAGGACAGTACTTAACGATTCCTCAGTGAGTCACATTCTCTGGCTCAAACGTGCCTGTAAACAAAGACTTTGGCATGATGATGAAGTCATTACTCACTGCAATACAGTACAGAGACTAAAGACTACTGTAGGATGGAGGGACTGAGCTAACACATTGAATCTCTGGATTCCCCTCTCAGAATACCAGTTTGTTCCTAATATTAAACAATCTACAAAAATTTTCATGCAGTGGGAAAAACGAACAATTATGAAGATGTCTTCTTGGAGGAAATTGGCAATTTAATCCCCTTGTGTATTTTGGCATGTTTCTCATAACAACTGGAGGACTTAAAATCTACCCATGGTGTCTTATTTCAAGAGAAATTATGACTCATCCTATCTTAATGTTGTGCCTTCCTCAATGGCTTGGTTAAGTTACAGTACCATCTACCATTCTTCAGCTGTCAGAAAATTAAATTTGCATAAAATGTCTCTATTGGCAATATCTATCCTGCCTCTATAGCATCTGTTCAACCTTACTGCCAAATAGTAATGCCTTAATTCCAATTGTGCAATAATGGAAAGCCATTAACTGAATCATCCACCCCCTCGCCCCTCCCTCTCTCTCTCTCTCTCTCACACACACACAATTTTTCAATATGATAAAAATATACAAAATGAAAATATTAAGATGGGTCACTGATAAATACCTAGATGGCTAAGCCATCTGTTAAAATCTGGTATTTCCCAAGTCATTAAATGGTGATCAGTGGAATGAATGCACTCATCAATAAAATGGGACAGACTCTCTAGTCTTGCTAGATCAGGGATCCACAACCCCCAGTCCATGGACCAGCACCAGTCCGCAGCATGCCAGAAACCAGGCCACGCAAACAAAGCCCCATCCGCAAGATGCAGGCAGCACATGAAACCACACCCCCTTCAGTCCACAGAAAAACTTCTCTTCACAGAACCAGCCCCTGGTGCCCAAAACGTTGGGGACCACTTTGCTAGATAGTTCCCCCAGCGTGACAATAAGCAGGGTGGGAGGTTTCCTTTGATCATATGTTTGATTTTTTAAAAAAAACAGGGCTCAGCCTGCCTCAAAACAAGCTTATCAAACAGCCAATCTCCCACCTTTCATGCAACTCTGGCAATTAGCTTCTGGATAAGCTTGTTTCTACTGTCGAAGTAGGCCCATCTGGCAGCTGATTGTCAGTGCTGCCCAGTGCAGCCTCTCTTGCTTTACTGGAAACTCACCTCATCAATCAGATGACAGGTTGTTTTAATAGTAAGTTTTATAGTCTTTTGAAACTGGAGTTTCTTTCTGGAGGATTAAAAAAAATGGAGCAGAGGAAATTGCCCAGAACCAAAGTAAAGTGTGTCAGAATATACTCACCATAACTGTCATGGATCACTGCTGGCTTAATGGACAAAAAACTATTTTAGATCAGAGCAGCTAAAGATGATTTCCGCCTGTTTCATTCATGGGCTGGAATGTGATATAGGCAAAGTCAAGGGAACTTGGCAGATAGTCTAGTGGTTAAGGCACTAAAGGGAGCTCTAGAACTGCCTTAAGAATGAAAGGCAGATGGGTGAATTTGGGTCAATCTCAGTCCAATCCACCTCACAGGGTTGTTGTTGTGGGGAAATTAGAATGATGTAGGAGTATTAGGTATGCTTGCAACCTTGAGGATACTATCATTACTAAGATATAGGTGGCTGAGCTGGGAAGGTAATTTCTAGCAATTGTACACACCTGGAATGCTGGTGTGGTATCAATACAGACCAGCGGTGAAATCCACTTACATTTGCTACCAGTTCGGGAACGGGAGCATGTGGGAGTACATGTGCTATTCTGCGCATGCGCAGAAGGTCAAAAACGGGACGTAATGATGTCCCGCCACTGGCGCTACCGGTTCGTGCAAGCCGGATAAATCCAGCCAGATTTTACTGCTGATACAGACTCAATATTTGGAGAGAGGGAATTTTGAAGTTAATGGCTGACAATCACAAAGCCACTGAATGTCATCTCAACCCTTGTTTCAGATTTTTATCTTCTTAGTGCTGTTGTAGACAAAATAACGGACTAGAGCAAGCTCTTCAATGCAGGAAAGAGTTTATTGCGCAAGGTTCAAACAGTCCAAAGACAGCTAAGGGTCTGAACGCCGATGGCTTCTTCTGGCCATGTATTTATACAGTTTAAAGGCAAAAGTATTACAGAGAGTGATGCATTTCACACGTAGAAGCTACCCTTTAATCTATCTCTAGGAAAGACATAACAGCCCTGTTCCCACAGGCTCAGGTTTTCAGCTCCGGAGCTCAAGACATAACAAAAGGAGATAAGAGGCTAGAAGACGCCTCAAAGGCAATAAGGAAGCAGCACCCCTTTTCCAGGGATATGCATGACATTTGGGATGCAATAAACATTAAACAACAGAATGTATCTGGTTAGGGTCAGTTTGCCCTTTTACAATTCTGTACCTACGTCAAATACCGTTTGTCATCTCAGCACCTTGGCACGGAAGAGGCACTTCTGTCTTGACCAAAGATTTGGATTTCTAATATTTGAGTTTTATCCCAATATCGAATCTTAGCCTGGCTCATACCCCCCTTTGTGACTCATCTGTTTATCCAGACGAGTCACACCATAGGTCCTCTTCCTGCTGGAGCCGTTTGTAATCCCACATAGCCATCATCTGAGCAGTTGTCTTACGTTCCACCAGCAAGGATAGACTTTTAATAGTGTTAACAAGCAGAGGTAAAATACATGGGAGAAAAATACACCCTGTAGCCACTAATCCCACCAGGCCAAAAATGGCCTGCAGGCCAGGTAACTTTGGCCACCATCCTGAAAACATGTCCTGTAAATTAAGACCTTTCCAAGTCTGGACTGGCACATGAGCTATTTCAACCATTTTGTCTGTTATTTCCTTAATAACCTTTCCTCTTTCATCAACCTCTATACAGCAGTTAGTCAAATTAAACTTTCCACATACCCCTCCATCCTTGGCTAACAAATAGTCGAAGGCTATTCAATGTCCAGTCCCCATCCTTACCCTTATTATATGACAGATTACCTTTCTGATCCAGCATCTCTTTTCCTCTTTCTCCCCTCCAAAGGAAGAGGGGGGAGAAAAACCCCCTTGCATCCCACTTCGCAGTGCTATTGCCAACAAATCAGCCTATTTATTCATCCGTGCCTCCTGTTCTTTCTTCTCCACCTACAGCCCCCACAGCCTCCAAATCATCATCATCATCATCATCATCATCATCATCATCATCATCATCCCCCTCTCCCTCACTCTGACTGCTACCTCTAGGCGAATGACTCCCCTTGACTTTTGACTTCACGCCAGGATCACTCATACGCCTCTGATTTCCTCCTCTGCTCCCTCCAGCAGCCCCCTTACTTTTCCTGCCTGCTCAGATACACATAACCCGACTGTTTCAGCCCTACATTGCAATAACTCCTCAGCTTTTTTCAACAGGGCTCTCACCCATTGATCAATATATTGAAATTGATCAGGATATTTATCCTGATTCACTACAATCACTCCCCACAACTTATCCACTGTTTCTTCCCTTAACCATCCCTGAGGGGGAGGGGGTCAGCCCATCTCCCTTTGTGGCCACACATGTTTACATAAGAATTTTAATTGATCCTTTGATCCTTTCGGATAGGAAGGGTTGCTAAAATACTTGTCAAAACCTTTTAACATGCATGCCAACGGAGTATTTGGCACGCTCTGAACCCCATCCCTTCTACCACACTGCCGTCGACTCATAGCCCCGGAAACTCACGGCC